ATGATTTCTCTTCTTTATTGTACATGCTTCTTTGTTAAATAAACTGTTGAATCTTTTCACAGAATTTTTCCGGATTTTTTTCCTCCGGATTTATATTTTCCAAATTATTTTTTTTCCGGATTTTTTCCTCAGGATTTTTTCTTCCGGATTTTTTTTTCCGAATTTCGGGACAATACCAACATCTTTTACCTGGTATGTAAAAATACGACAGAAGGTGGGTGTGGGTGTGGGTGTGGGTGTAGGTGAATAGCATAAATAAATCCACACCACACCCCATGATAGGTTTGCTTCTTATTATTAGGCAAAGATTATACATAATGTTTGCATTTCATGATCGTCGGCAGAAACAAAATAAAAGTATGTAGTTCTACCTATTTTCTTCTTATTCTCTTCTCAGAAAAACGAAGTGTGTCCTCAAGATACACTTGAATCATTGCTTTCATTTTCACAAAAAACATTACACAAACAATCAACGAACGAAGCACTTTTTTTTGGCTATCAACTGTGACTTTTATCTCACAATTAGAAAGCAACTAGGTCACCAGTTAAGTGAAGCGAAGCTGAATCAACATCTGCTGTGCACGAATTTATCATGTTTTTGCGCCATTGTAAGGCGAATATATGAGACACTGCTGCGCAAAATAATGATTGAAAGTGTTCATGAAATATATTCGATAAAGCTTTCATTGACTGATTTTTGATGACTCTTTTATAATAGATGCAATTGAACACTGATTCAATAAGCTAGAATGTAGATTTGAGTCCTATATTTACTCACATTCGCAGCCTTTTACTAAGTAGAACACCTAGAAAAACTAAATCTCGCTGAAAATTAGAGTGAGCATCAAAAGAAATCGAAAAATATTTTACTGAACAAAATGAAAGAATCATTCTTTTATTTGGAAAAATATGAAAAACAGTTAATTTTAAAAATTCATGAAATGAAATTACCGATGTTGTTAGGAACAGCTTGTGATCATGCTCGATCATTATTATTAGATATAAATAAATGACTATATTCTTTATCAATTAAAGAACTCATAACTGCACAAAAACTACTTTCAAGTCATGATTAAACGTTTTCATAACAACAAAAGATATCAAATTTATTAAATTTACAAACAGAAGCTAAATGTAATATGTGTTTGTTGAAAAGATAAGCAGATGAAAGAAGTTTGATTGAAAAGAAAAGATAACAAAATATTTGATCAGTAAAATAGATGAAATGATCAGTATTTTATATACATATACTTAGCAGTAAAAAAATAAATTTATATCAGTAAAAGTCACAAATTTGATTAGAAAAAACTACAGATTTTATCAGCAAAAAAAAAGAAGAAGTTTTACCAGTAAGAAGTATAATTCAACATTAGAAAAATTAATTCAAATAAAAAACACAGTAAATAATAAATTCAAAGAATGAATAAATCAGAAAGAAAATGAAAATTGAATTATTGCATTAACAGAAGAGGTTTGGCGTTCTTGGTCTACTTCATTTTTTTTTCTCACCGATCGACACTACTTTTGCTGCTATTGCTGATTTACAATATTTCAATATGGAAGTCGCACAAGTTTCTCATTATGAATCACTCACATATTGAGTAACTTTGCCATACATCATCCTTCCATCGTTTTTACTTGTTCACACTAAGCTGAAGGTGAAGGCAAGGAAAGAAAAAAAGGATATATATGTTAATGTTCAAACTACACATTACGTCTGTGTACATTATCAGATTGGGTAAAGAGTATGCATTAAAACGTGAGCTACAAAGTTTCTCGATTAACGTCAACTAGAATACTTACTGATAAAATCTGACCAAACAATAGCAGATCATTTGATGCAATTATCAATTGATCAAGCATGCTTGAATCAATAAAGTTATGAATTGTTCTATACATAAGAATATATATCTGTTATACTGGTCATGTACATGTTATAGCAAAAAAATAAGGAAAGCAGAAGAAAAATCATAAATAAATCATTCTATAACATATTTCAAATTCTATATTTATTCTTTGAATTAATCGACTGTGAATCAAATTTTTTTACTGGCTTTTAAATTTATTAACACATCTAATTAATTAAAAACTGACTATTCAATTAATATAGTGATCATTCATTTTATTTACTGATAACTCAATTATTTTATTGGTAAATCATTCAATCTACTGGTTTCATAATTATTTAGCTTACTAATCATTTGATCTATTTTGCTTATCACTTAAATTGTAGCTAAAAGAAAATACGAGAAGAAATAAAACTTCTGATTCATAACTTTATAAAGCAAACAAAATTAGGAGCAGACTAGAAGAATGCTGTTATTTTTGTGAATAAACAAGATTGCATGACTAAAAATTAAAGAAATTTTAAATATCCAGGTCAAATATGTACGACGAAAAACGATCGAATCCGATGGAGTTCCATGATATTTGGGAGCCAGAACTCCTGCACTAGTCCCTGTCTCTGTTTGCGGTTTAGTTCCCGCCTATTCCTGAATCCGACAGCAATCTCCTGATACGATTGTTGTTTCCAGCACGGTTCTCGATAATGAATGTGGACGTGTTTGAAGAAAAGTGCCACTCACACCCACATTCACACTGTCAGATTTTCTGAAATTTTTTTTTTGCAAAATTGATCAAGTAATAATTTTGAAAAATAATGAATGTCATTTTTTGTGAGTTGACAAATATATATAATAGTGCGAAAGATCTAGTGTAAATGTCATGTATAAGTAAAATAAACTTATTTGTCAATTAGTTCAGCGATTATGATAATAAGAATGTCAAATTAACAGGGTGTCCCAGAAGTCCCTTCTACTTAAATAATGCGTATAATTCCATCAGTAAAGAAGCCTAATTTAATTTTTTTTTAATTTGAAAGAGGAGAGTATGAAGTTTTTTGTCTAATACAAAGTTCATAAATACTCTTAAAAGACTACCACTTCTGGTGGCAGTATGAAAACTTGGCATTTTTCGAAATGTCAAAAAACAACCAAAATGTTGACAACAGTTTTTGTTCTGCATATATCTCGGCCTGAGAAAATGATACAATCTTGATCTTTTTTCCAAAAGATGCGCCATGAAAAGTTCTACAACAACTGCATAAACCAATCCTCTTCACCGGCTCTAGTGGGTTTTCCGATACTCAGTATGAACAACCTACATGATAGTGCTATGTTCCAGCAAATAAAAACTGTTTGGAAGACGTTTTTGTTGTGGAATCATGCAGTTTTTGTAAAGCTTTCGACGACACATCTTTCAAAAAAGCAATCAAGATGTTATTATTTTCTTAAGTCGAGATATTTGCAAAATAAAAAATTTTTACAAACATTTTTTATTTGCTAGAACATAGCACTATCATATAGGTTGTTCATACTGAGTATCGGAAAACTCACTAGAGCCGGTGAAGAGGATTGGTTTATGCAGTTGTTGTAGAACTTTTCATGGCGCATCTTTTGGAAAAAAGATTAAGATTCTATCATTTTCTCAAGCCGAGATATATGCAAAATAAAAATGCTGTAACATTTGGTTGTTTTTGACATTTCGAAAAACGCTAAGTTATCATGCTGTCACCAGAAGTGGTAGTCTTTCAAGAGTATTTATGAACTTTGTATTAGACAAAAAAAACTTTATACTCTCCTCTTTCAAATTAAAAAAAATAGATTTGATTAAGCTTGTTTAGTAATGAAGTTCTACGCATTTTTCAAGTGGAAAGGACTTTTGGGACATCCTGAAGAAGAACGAATACAAAAAAGTGAAAAATAATGAGCCATTAGCAATAATGCAAACCAAAAATAGTGCACCGTATAGAAAATAAAAAGTTTCTTTTGAAAATGAAATGATTACAGACGTCTTTACCCTGATATTCGATTATCCTGTAAAACAACTGTAGTCTACCTGAGACTTTTCGATTTAGGAATTTGATATTAGTTTAATGAAGCTAGAGGACATATATGAGTTCCACATTTTAGCTCCAATGGGACTGCGTTAACAGATTTTTCCATTTTATATCCTCATAAACTAAGTAGTTCTTTTTACTCTTTAATTCAGCACTGATTACAGGTGTGTTCAGAATTATATTCTCTTTCTAACAGTGTAACAATGAATTTTCTATACATCAAAAGCCGCTTTGAAAATCATACTATTCCAATATATCTTCAAAAACAATATTAAACTTTAACGTCAAGCATATGTCTCTTTAAAACTAACACGAGTAACCGAGGAGCAATTGCTTATAAAAATAAATGAATTCTTTCAGAAAAGCAAACACGTCAATTATTAGATTACAGGAATGATGATATTTTAAATTTTGCATCTGCAGGTCTTTCCAGTTATTTCGAAATAATTTACGAACAATTTTCGAGTATGCATGTAGGTATAGCGTGAGAGTGGAGAGAAGACTCTCACATTCACACAAACATACCTCATACAGAGATCCTCACACCAACGCCCACACTGCAGTAAGCGTAAGAAGTAGCAAAAGCTTTTATATTCTGCAGGAACACAGTAAAAACATATTTCACTCTTGATTCTATTGTATTTGTTTTATTTTGAGTTCTGCGATTGTAAAATAGGAATTAGACAAATATTCGATTTTAAACAAGCGGATAGCTTGCTATATTCGCAATACCACATTGATTATTCTTATTACGACTCATCCAAATATAACCTTTGTTACCCCACGTTTCGCCCCATGAATTCTTCGCAATATAATAATCTTGCTTCTTTGTACCATTTTTAAGTGTATCATAACCAACAACAATGAACGTGTGATTTACATCGGTCGACGAGCATTTAGGATCATCGTAAACGCCCGAAGAATAGAACTGGAATGATTCTTGCATTGCATCAATTGCTACCGCTATGGGACCTACAGTAGCGATAGCACTTTGCAATGTGGTCTCATTTCCACTCGGAAGATCAACAAAACCCTATCACAAAAAGAACAATAAATATAGCGAAGAAATCATTATGTAATACTGACAGTATCAGTAGCACCGACGGTTGCCCGCTTGAAACGACACTTGCCATCTTGAGCTTCATACGGATAACTAGCTTCCGTATCTAAGCCCTTGTTATCTTTAATGTATTGAAATGAAGCATCCATATATCCTCCACAACAACCTTCGTTACCATACTTGCTAGTGCAATCGATTAGATTCTGTGCCGATAACCGTACTAAGTTGCCGGTCTTGAGAAAATGTTGTCCTTCCAATGCACCTGTAGCAGTGAATGCCCAACAAGAACCACACTGACCTTGGTCTTCGATTACTGTTGTTACCGCTCCTTTTTTGCGCCAATCTAATAGAAATAGAAATTACGCAACAATCAATAATCTTGTGAGCACACAATTTTCGTTCATCTCTACAATTGCTAACAGATAAAAATTAGTAACTGCTACTGATATCCTCTTAATAAATGAGTTGTGACAAAGTTTACGTATGGCATTAGACGAAAATTCATTCAGAAATGAACTTTGAAACAATAGCATTTAGCCGAGAAATATTTCGAAAACTCTCGTCTTCATGCGTTCGCTTACTTATTGATTTTCTTTTCTCTTGCTTATAAATCACACAATAACTACGTACCAACAGCAGATGGTATGGCAACATGCGATGAAGGAAGAAATGTGTGCCGATCAAATGAATTCGATTCTTCTGTAGGCAAACTCTTTTTGAATCCACGAACCACTGTTCGAAGAAATTCTTCATGTGTCTAAATGGATGAGGCAATGAAATAATTCGTCTCAGGATGTGTATGTGTATTGAATGAATTCAAAATATAAACAAGAGAACAACGCACCATATCAGCAAACTTATTGACTTTGAGCGTATATGAATGTAAACCAAGTTCAGCTTCCAGATTATGTCGATTAATTTTAGCAGCATTTTTGTCAAAAACTGCCCGGCTAAACGAAAAAGAAAATCTATAAAACAATAATTAATGACCATGGTTTTCCAACCGGTATTGTTCTTCTGTCGCATTGTCATATCTTTTATTGTAGAGGCTCTTGAATAGATTCCATGGATCTGAATTTCGACGGCCTGCGACAACTTCAGAAACGCTGAAGACAGCAATCAGAAAGTAAATAAAAAGCATATTGACAAAACAACTTTTCATAGAGATACGATGAAATAGCCACACATTTATATAAAAGAGAAAGATAACAAGTGTGTTGTCATTGTTGACTAAAGCATCATCATGATGACTTTTGTCAGTTGGTTTCTCATGACACAGTATATCTTCAAAAACCAATGTCATCACAACTCATGAGAATCCATTTGAGGGTATATGTGGATGTCCGTGTTGTCATACATATCTTGCTTCACGCATTTTTGTATCACAAGAATGTATCACCATCGATACAGATTTTATACCTAGGATATAGTTGAGGCTTAAAAAAAAGGTTCTCACGACCATATCTACACCTGCTTCGGAGAATAACTTCACTTATCTGCGGAACAAATTCCAGTTGGATTAGTCAAAGTTGAAGGAAGTTTGAAAGCAAGCTAGGACACATGCTCAGTGTGAAAAGTGAACTCAAGAAAAGCCCAAAGCTTGATAAATGTGTACTCTGCACGAAGGAAGGTTTCAACCTATCATTCAAAAACAAATCGAAGATATATCGAATTGAGACTGTTCAAGTGTTGTAGACCGAAACAGAAATGTTATACTTATATTTAGAACGAATAAAAAAAAAACATCGATTTTGCTTTAATTTTCACTCGAATAAAGGGAGTAGCCTTAAGTCGACTGTTTTTGAAATTTTTTTCCTTCGTTTTCTCTTATGATTAGAAAGCATAATTCGGAGCGAAAACAGAACGGCTTTTTTGTTTTTCTTCGTCCGTTCAGATGCATTTTCAAGGATTGCATGACTATCTAGGCACTAAATCAAAACTAGTTGAAGAGGTTGTTCGGACAGTTCAGAAAAATTACATTGTTTATAGTTTAACAATCATCATCTAGTGGCTTTTAATGTTTGATATCTTGAATGCTGCAAAGAAACAAGCTTAGTCTAGTGTGAATATGTGTCTTCGAGAAGTTTGAGTGAGTCTTTCATCAAATGAGAACAATTTAAAAAGGTAGCTCTATCTATTGAGCAAGATAGGGACTGTCAGTGAATGAAAAATGTGCATGAAATTGTATGGTAGATTTGGACTAGTAACTTTCCCATTAGTCAGGAGATATTTTGATTACATTGCGATGATTTTCAAATTTCTTACTATCATCAATATTTTTTGTTAGATCTGTTTAATTTTCTTTTTTGGCGAACATCAATAAAGTTGACAATATTAATAGTTTTCTATAAAGCGAATAGAAATGATGGTTAACTTTTAAAGATTTGATTAATGAAAGTGCCTATGATAGATAATAGATCTTTCTAAGAAAATTTAATCAACAATCATTTAACTTTAGGAGAAGTTACTGTATTTTTTAATGGACGCTAGTTTTTCTTCGATTAAGATTTTTTCATCTAAAATAAAACTATACATTGTATAAAGAATTTTCTTTTTCAAATATTAATTATCAAGTGTTATATGGAATACAGTCTAAACTGTTCTTTAGAGTAAATGTCCTTGGTGAAGAGGTAATTGAGAAGTTGTACCTTGTTAGAAAATATCCCTCATCCTCCACTGTTATGTGTTCGATATCATGCTATTGGACAGTGGATAGTGTTGTAATCTAGAAATACTTCGGCATATACTTCAATTGTTTATCTAAAGGATTTACGTATTTCGTATAGAAATAAGGATGTATGTGGTGTGAGTGCGAACGAAGATAAGACCCACACTCCACACTCAGACCTACATTCACATACTGTTATATGGACTTTCTTTTCCTTTATCACAAATAAAAAATAAAGTAAAATTCGGTTCGTTATAATAAATATATATCTTAGGGACATTTTCTAAGGACATTGTAGCCTGTTACCGTTATATAAGATAATGTTATATGCATATAATAACTGGCCGTGAAAGCAATTTATGTTTTAAAATGAAGTATTATAATCAGTTTGACCTAAAATGAGTTTTGTGAAAGAGAGGGCGTGCTTGTACGTAAGGAGAACACACTCATATGCATCCATATTTCATAGACATCTTCATTTGAACATCATTTTCTATATTTTTTTATATTTATATATAAATGTCCTTGCATCTCAATTAATTTGTGTCCTTTCGAGGTTTGATTTCATATTACAATAGCAATTAGGTAGTATTTTCCAATTGAAGAAAAATACACAATTTAAAAAAAATTATTATGAATAAATTTTCATAAATTTAAAAAACAAAAATTCTGCAACTTTGAATTGTTTTTTATTAAAATAATTTATATTAAAAAGATCATTGAAATTGAGTAAAACAGTTTTTTAATATCAGTTTTCTATTTGAAAATGAGAAGGCAAGGTTTTTTTAGAATACTACATGTTTTATTCAGTAGAAGAAAGGACGAAGTCTGCTAGATGCGCTAGAAGCGACTTGAGCTTTTACCCATTGTAACCATTGGTCATCAGAGGATGGCGAATGAAGTTGTTCATTCACAGGTGTTAAAGCATCCCAATATGGTGTGAATTTATCATCTAAAAATAGTAAAAACTCAGCATTCTGTTTATACGTATTGGCAATGCAGCTTCCACTGCGTCCATTCGGTCGAACAAAATCGTATGGTGATGGACGATCATTAAAGTCGTCGTGCTCGCTTAAATATCCATTAATCCAAAGTGGATTTGGAATCCTTTGATTGCCTTTGATTTGCTCTTCGAGTTCGAATGTGATGACTGAATCGGGAATTCCATTATACCACGATCCTTGTTCCGCTGGAGGTTTTTCATAACTGATTGCTTTTGCGCGAACAATTGCATGTGCTTTAGAAATTAATTCTTCCGGTGTCGTTAATTTCAAAACGGAACATGCCCAAATGGTCATAATACTATGTCCAAGAAGTGATAAAATTAGAAAGACAATTTGGTTGTGTTGAAGCATCATAAGCGCAAATATTGAAGTTGAGATTCAAAGTAGAATACCTTTGTTTTTTAAAAAAATGATTTATTGCAGATTTCACTATTGCTGTATGATGATGTCCTTCCTCTCTTACTTCTGTTTCGATTTGATTTATTTATCCAACGAAATTCGAATTTGATTCTATCATAAATAAAGCTTTCTAACTGTCTGACTCAAACTATATTATCATGCACATTATAAAATATTGCTTTCAAATGTGATATTTGATAACGATTACCTAAGCTTTGAGTTGAATAATCGCTCAGATTACACGATCGTTTTACCTTCATATTTGTCTAGGAGATTGCTTAAAGAGAATTGAAATGCATAGAAGACTGGTGAGTGTTTTTGGTTGACTGTGATTATTAGTGGATCAAAAGAGACGGTGCACTCTCTAATATAGTTGTTACATTTAAGTTATTTCTAGTTAAGCTACTCTATAGTTATTACTTCCCATTTCAAATTAGAAAAAGGAGTGAGTATTTTTAGAATAATTGGTGATACAAACGAGATAGAGAGCTACGTTTTTGTCTTTGAAAAAAGGAGATCAAGACGCATCGAATCGTGTATTATTGAGTTTCTTTCCATGTCCTCTGAAGGATTTTTACTCACTCATGCTACAAAAAAGGGTTCCGAAAACATCGGAAAATAATTAAGAAGACAACAAGAAAATGATTTGTTCACACAATATTTCGAGAAAAGAGTTCGAATTTTGGAATTCTATATATATAGTTCCAGAAAAGTGAAGGCTTAGCATTTGAGCCTAGTATAGCTGTCAACTCTTTGATATACGGTTCGAATAAACATCTGATAATTGAAAATTGACTGAAGTGAACACAATGTGGTACGGTGGCTACCAGAAAGCTCGATTAGAGAGGTCCTACAAATCTTGTCCAAGAAAATCTGTAACATACGATTGAATGTATTTTTATTCTCCCTTTCCAATGGCAAAATGCACAGTCGTCGATCCCGTTTGTATTAACAGTTATTCAAAAAAAATACTCATTCCTTTTTCTAATTCAAAACGGAAAGTAGTAACTAGCAAATCGTAACTTGATAAGTTAGAATGGCAAGAAATTAGAAACTGACTTGGGATTTATTCAAAACCTTTTGTTACGTTCTCTCGGTGTAAGTATAGATGTAAGTGGCTCTTCTTTACGCACACTCATACTCTCGTAACGTTTAGTACATTCAATTTTGTGTATTCATTTAAATGATTCTTTGCCAAGTAATAGTTGTGATAGAGAATAAACGAGAATATTACTTTCAATGCATATTTAATTGTGATTTATCAGTACCAATCTCAAAACAACAGTTTTAGGAACTTTTTACGTATTATTTATGAGTTTTTTTTTAAATTTTTGGTTCTGTTTACTCTTTGCAATGTCTGGATACGTGAACAGTCTCATAAATCACAAAGTAGTGTATTACTAAACTTAATCTTTAAATATCTTACACAAGAATCATTCTTCAAACATACTATGTATATTTTTCTAGATCGGTATCAGGAAACTTTTTGAAGAAGCTGAATCTAGTTTCATCCTTATGTACTCGGTTGATCTCTGCAAGATTCTGAAAATGTACTGGCTGAAAAACCTGATGAATAGAAAAATGATGAATGTGAATAGTTCTCATATTATCATAGCTCCATACTAAAACTGTGAGTACTCTAACAATCGAATATCTCGCACCGTACTCGTCATGAGCTATTCAAATTTCAAATTCCTTAGTTTAATGATAAAATTGATAATTTGAGATCGAATGTGGTCAACCTTCTAGAATTATAGTGCAAATTGTTCTAGTATTTGATTTAGTATCTATTAATCAAAAAAAACTGTACGAAGAATAAGGCTACCTTATATCTCTATTACGTACAAGAATAAAGAAATAGACATTAATTTTATCTTAATTATAATTTAGATAAAATTACTGTCTATTCAGTTTTAGTACAATCAAATTACAGAATTTTTTTTTTCTACTAATAAACATGTATCCACTTAGTTTTATTATATCTTAATAATATTATTCATTTTTTTCATGTACTATAAAATACAAATAGTATTGCTTTAGTTTCATTATGTTATGATAGTGCAAGTTAATAGTTCTCCCTAAAGTTGAGTGATAGATAGCGACTAGTGATTTGATAATGAATAAATTTTAAAAAGTTATTTGCGGTGGTTTGTTGTCTAGTTGGATTGAGTAACGCCCCTATATAGTCTACCACCAATAGTTGAAATAGTAACATGATGGTAAATAATTATCCAAGACTTTCATACTACTTGTTCGACAACTCTTCACTTTTAACAAATGAATAAATTTCCAATGACTGACCAACAAAATATGAAATATACGATTCTCTTCATTGAAAGAAGAATATTGTACTATAATATATATATGAAGTTCACTAGCACTCTTTAAATAAGGCATTCACTGACCTCCGGTTGCAATGTCTACTTGTGTAGAATGCCCTTTTAAATGATCACCAATAAGATCAATGCAGGAAACAAAAATGTAAGAAGCCTTTTATAATCGCTAAACAAGGACATAAACATGTAAGAAAGAAACTATACAATTAGGTTGAGGAGAGGCTAGAAAATAGGATGATTTTCCCCTCCTAAAGTTTTCTTGCATTCTAAATTTCTCTCTGAAATTTTTCTGCCGTGAATAACTAGTATTTTTAATGGTTCGGCAGAACAAATTGCTTATATTACAACAAAGTTCTGTTTGCAATTTTTTTAAAAGACAATCAGTTATTTTTTCTCAAAAAGAAATTAAATTAGGTTATATTTTGAAAAGTAATACACTAAAAAAACAGAAGTTAAGATAAACGTCGAAAGTATAGTTTGATTGTTAAAAGATCTAAAATTCATAAACTAGATATGGTAGAATATTTTCTGCAAAATCTAACTCAACATTTGGACAACAATTTCAATTATTCTTGCACTGAACATGTTTTCACCAAGTGGTTTATTATATATCTGATGAATATTTTATCTTAAAACACATCAATTTCAAATAGTTTTCATAAAATATTGATATAATGTTTTTTTTTCGGATATTATACTTATAACATTTCTGTAGGATGTCGTAGACGACACACGGTTAATTTTTTAGATCAAGCAATAAAAGTTTTAAATGAATTCATTTTGTTTTTCTTCCCCAACAGTATTGAGTGTGAATGACAAGAAGAAGAACACTTGCATACAGATCCAACTGATGTTTTTATGTTGATGCCAAATATTATATCTAGATGTTGATTCAAAAGTAAAAAAAACGGCGCAGTGTACAAAGAAGTTCTTTAAGTTTCTAGATTTGTTTGGACTTTGGAAAATATATAATTTTGTAGCTTTTTAAAAAGACAAGAGTTGAATTCACCGTGATAGAAATGCGCTACTATATTGATACTTTTTAGGTTTCAAAATTCGATCAAAACTTTCGGGAACTGTTACCAAAATCTTCGTCTTGACATAGTCTTTCTGTTGATATATGATTCGATGAAGTTGATCAAGAAACATACTAGTGGATCGATTTGATTTTTTTATGGATTTCCGTCCTTCGTGCAAATGTAACAATGAGACGGGTTATGGAATGACACAAGCATAAGATAAAAGAGCTAATAAATGAAATAAGATTGTATTTTTATTTCGAGGCATACAAGAATTTTATCCATTGTAGAAAAAACAGTGAATCTTACGGTATCTCTGTGTACAGATTGATTTCATATTTTTTATTTTATTTTTTTCAATTACTGTTCATTCAGCGATCATTTAACATCAGAATATATTTCAAAATTTTAAAGGATTTCGTAGCAAAACTAGTGACGTATCTAAAACAGTGGCGACTCGCTGGTGGTGGGTGGGCAGTGGAAGGTGGTGCCATCTCTACGTATGTTGTGGTCTCCAAGATACAAATCAATAGTAGAGCCGATAATGGCGGAACTAGAACATAAGCTTCTCTCTTCTTTTACTAAGGGCAGTGGAATGTCCTGCTACTATATTGACAGTGTGTATGCTTGATTACAAAGCGCACGTATTGGGGGTGCCATCCTCTACTGCCCACCCAAAACAAGAGGAGTGCAGGCAGTCTGGCGCCGCTACTAAATCTGGCCCTAACATGAATTACATCCACTAAAAATTTCAGGTTTTAATAACACATTATTAAACATTTAAAAGCAAAAAAAGAGTGGCGCCACCTTCTACCCACCGTCAGCGACTCGCTACTGTTCTAGATACATCACTAAACAAAACTAACAATCTTCAGCTTACTAGAAAAGAATAAATTCAGAATTGCGCTATTCAGCTTGATGACTACAATGTAGTCTTATGTGAGAATCAACTGATCTTACTAGACAATACTAAAACTTGCTCGTTTATCATCGTATTTCTGAGGAAATCCAACTACGTAGAATAGCTCCCGTAAAAAAACTCACAAGATTTGAACAAAATCGCTTCAAGATATGAGGCTTTTTAAAACTTCAAGTTATATTTTGAAAGTGTTATATCTTGAAGAGACCTACTTCAAAATTTTTGAATTTTTTTTATGGAATCTAGTCTAGTTGAGTTCTCTAACAATAGTTTAGTCAAATCTCAATAGGAGTCCGGATCTTTTTAGAATTTTTATTAGAACATTATATCATATCTATAGACGAAAAATCATTGAAATTAGATGGGAACGTATGAAGAGGTTTTCATGTCAGCTTGAGACCTATCATAGATTCTGATGATTCCTTCAATATATTACTAGATAGTTATATATCTGTAGATTAGACATATGTAAAATTGTTCCTGGTATCTGTTGTAACCTTCATCTAATTTCTGTATAGAAAAATTCATAAGAAAAAGATCATAGTTCAACGAAAATTCTTTTCTGAATTTGTTTAATCATCATTATAATTCGTTGTTTTTCTTATGGTAAATTATCAAATAAATTGATGCACATGCATAAAATGTGAGCATTTAAGCCAAGAACTTCGTTACTGTCATCAAAGTCTACTATAGTAAGTAATTGAAATACGCGAAAATAATTTTCTCTTGTTCTTTTTATTCAATCTACTTGTAACTGTAACAAAAATCAATGACAAAATCAATCATTTATATATGGTTATTTTTCCAATTTTTGACAACTTCATTTTTAGATGATAAAGAAAAACTGTTCGTTTGTTTTCTCTCTTTATTTCACATCAATTGATGTCTTTTTTAATAAAACAAAAACAAAGCAACAATACTATCAATGATAAGTACTTACGTCAATGAATGCGCAAGTCCTCGGAACTTACAACTTCATCATATTGGAATTCGTATTGACAAGAAAGAATGATTGCATATCTTTCTTATTGAGATATCCATTGTCTTTTCTTGTTAGCAATACTTCGAATGGTACACTTCTAGAAGCTTAATTTAACTAAGTACTCAAGCAATCTAAAGCAGTTGCTTGGTTCTTCTTTTATATGGTAAAGTTTATAGTATTGACTCAGGAAAATCAATAATCAGCTTTTAGTTTTTTCGCTTATCTTACAAAATTACATTGCTTATTATATTCATATTTCATTGTAATGAAGATATATATTATAGGAACTATCTTTGATCAATAAACTAGTATTTCAAATGGTATTTTTTTTAATTTTTCAATTGAAGTAAAAAAATCAGTTATGTTGCAAGGTTAAGAGTTCGATTTCTTTGTACGAGTTAATAGTAAAGCTATTTCATAATATTATTTTTGCAAGTGTATGGAACAAATAGGTATTCTAATGTTCAAGAGAAATTCTGTTATGTCATCTAATCATTGTACTGAAATCAAAGGATTTGAGAAAAATATAAAGACAAAAACTAAATGTATACAATGAACTTCAAATTTCAACAATATTTATCTCTATGTCGGTTCAAACAAATGGACTGATTTTTTTGGTTAGTGGTAGAACTTTATCTAAGGTTCTTTTTTTGTCATACAGATAAGATAAGTAAATAATTCTATCAAATATTAATGTTGGTATCATGAAAGCAATTGTACCTGTTATCAAATAAGAAAAATGCATGCATAGTCTTTCAGAGATAATTTTCAGTTGTCATTGAAGAGAATAAGAAGATATCAAAACGAACTATATTGATGTACCTAGAGTTCATTTTGATTTTTTTCTTATTATTTTCTTTGGTAACAATTAAAAGTTATCTATGAAATACTTCATATGAATTTATCTAACTTGACTATAGTATTTATTTTCTTTATCCGTAATAAAAACAAAACAAAAAAAACTTTATTTAAATTCCTACCATCAAACAGAAAAAAATCAGCCCAGTCAAAAGAATCGAAGTGAAGATATTTTAATTTTTTTTTATTATTGTTTCATTTATGATCTACCCTGTATATTTTTCAAATTGTTGATAAACTTAATGGATTCCATTAAAAGCCAAGTAACTTCAAATATTTGCTTTTATAAGTATTAAACATCCTTCTGACGGCATATAACACATCTCTGTTGCTAGTTTTGCTTCTTTTTTTTTTTCGAACATGTCTAAACCAACATTCATCCATTTCTTTCTCTGTCAACAATCGCATTGTGCTGTTTTCTTTAGTAGGTAAGAATGAAAAAGAAATCTATTTTTTTTTAATTTTTCCTTGCTTCCTTTCATTGTCGTCAAGAGAGAAAATGCTGTGTCGAACAATGACGTTAACAATAAGCGAACAAAGAGATGTGGGCATCCGCTTTTTCAATGATGGTAGTAACATGCGTAACTCTGTTTACGTATTTGAATCGCTGTTGCCAACAACAAAAGAGAAAAGAAAAGAATTTCACAAAATAGTGACCTTCATACGTCTTTAGACATTTATATTCTCACCATAGGAGATTAAAAATGATTGTTCAACCAGCACTTATCATATCAAAGCAACATAATCAACCAAATCGTGAATGTCTCTATGCTTGGTATCCCGAAGTAGTAAATGATATATCAATGAAACCACGTGATATTTATATACATAATGGCATTGATAAAGATCTATTGGAACAAAAACCATTAACAAATGGATGTAAGAAAAAGAAATATGTTGAAAAGTAGAAGTGTCAGACATAGGCATTCAAAAAAAAACAAAATAAAAGAGAAAAAGTCAATTTTTTACTTTTTCTGACATTCAATTTTTTTTTTGTTTTTTTGTTTCATTTGTTTTTTTTTTTCATCTTATTGTTGTAGTGGTGAATACTTCCATTAATACCAATACGAGTGTTGAGCTTCTCCAACGTTATAAACAAAGTATTGCACCAAGTGATCGTGCTTATCATTCAACAGACACAATTAATGAAGCATTAAATCCACCTTGGGCTTTACATTACGAAATAAAACGACAAGCAGTAACACCAAATCTCTTATCTAATTCAACTGATAGTACGTAAAAATACCCTAAATTTATCATTAAACTAATTTGTTCCGTTTATATAACATATATCATTTGGGAATCGAATTTCTTCCGATGAAAAACAATGATGAATATCTAATATTGTTATTGTTAGTTTTATAGACAAAAGAAAATATTATTTATTTTCTTTTTGTTGTTAAATAGATGTATATAATTTAAATATAAGAAATTATTAATATAGTATTAACAAAACAATTGTTTAGGAAAGTCTACTGGGAAATTGTATAATGAATCAAACAAAGCGAAATGTACTTTAACAATCTTTTATTTATTTTTTTTTTTGTCACATACGTTTCTAATCAAAAAGAACCAATGAACTACTGTTAAATATATTATTAGAAAGTCATATTGTTTTATAAACTGTCTGTAGAAAAATTAAAAACAAAATTTCAAAATAATTCACAGAACTATCTTAAATTAGTTATAAATACTTTTCCTTCTTTATATCCGTTTCCGTTATGATGCATGTTGAAAATAATATATATATCGAAAATAAAACTTATTATTTTCATTTTAGTGTCAATACATGAAGAACCACCTCGTCGATTGAAGAGTGCTCCAGTGACTCATTCACTTCCTTCAACTGCAATTCTTACGATTCCAGAACCACGCTTTATAAATTCTTTTATTCCAGTTACAACAATTAATCCAATTCCATCACCGACACGAGCTAAAACTCGTGCTTCATCTGCTAAAGCACGTCTTAATACAACTATACCAAATGAAATTAATCAACAACAACAACGTCGTGAAATAAAATCAGCTTATGCATCACGTCAAAAAGTTAATACAAAATTATCTGATGAAGAAATTCAACAAATTTTCAAACGAGTTTATGGTGATGATATTAAACAAACACAAGCACAACAAGAAGAACCAGTACAAATCATTTATACACAACCTCAGCCTTTATCAGTTTCTTCTTCACCAGTTTATATCTATCAAAAGTCAGCAAGTTGGTGTGCTGATGAACCTTCATCAATGCCTGTTCGTAAATCTGTTGAAATAAATCCAATTGTACTTAATCCACATCATATTCATCGTCCAGCTATTATTGCTGTTAAAAATACTGAAAAAAATGCTGTGTTAAAAGAATATTCACCCGCAAAAAAATCAACAAAATATCAGCGACGACTTCATCATAGTCAAGGAAGACGAAATGAACCTTTACTCGCAGTAACACCTGTATCACATAAATCAAAATTATCACTTGAAATTGATGGCGTTAAATTAATATATGATCCAAAAATAACTTTTGAAGATAAATCAACAAATATTACAAAATATTTTATTGATGGACGATTATATTTAGTTAAAGATAAACGTTATAATGTCATAGATAATATCGATCCATCAACATTAGAAAAATATAATCAAAGTTTAGCGTAAGTCTTCGAGAATGCTGTCTTTAACTCATTTTCTTTTTTTTCTTCTTTTGCTTAGTCATTCTTCACGAACCAAATATTATCGAACAATTCCCATGGAAAAATTTCAAATACCACGACCGTTATCAGACTTACATCGTAATTCATCTGAAACATACTGTTCTAATAGATCATCAAAACATGTACATCGTTATGTTATTGATCCAAATTTAATGTCAGAAAATCTTAATGTAAATAAGATGTCATTATCAAACCGGCCACCAACAGCAATTGTTTATGCTTAATATAAACTTATATATTGTTTTTATTAAGTGTGCTTGTTTTCGTGATCATGTCTTTGTCGTGCCTTTTGTATGAAAAGAAAAAAAGATCGAGTGTTTCTTCTACTTTATCATATCTTTATTATTATATCATTGAAGACATGTGAAACAAAACTATTTTATTAGAAGAAAAAAAAAAAGAATAACTACACAGAGTAGAAAGAATAATATTTTTCTTTTGTTAGATATGCTAAAAAGTTATCATATTTTAAAGTTATTGATATACATATTCTTCGTAATATCACGATAAAGAAAAAAATTAACTATTGAGAAGTTTAAGAGAGCATTCTTGCTTTTGACTTAAATTCTTTTTTTTTTTTTCTTCTTTTTTTTTTAATTGCTTGTTGGGTGAAAACACAATTACCAAAGCAACGAGAACAAATGTTACGGCTGCTTGATTTGGACACTATCTTGAAATAAAATAGAATCTATGCAATTTAACAAAAATTTTTTCGTTCTCTGTGCAACAGCAGTCGTTCTATTTGTAGCATATAGTCATAGTGGCACTCAAGCATATAGAATAAAAGAAAATGAAGAAGAAAAGAAAAAAAAGACGACGAAGAAAACACCCAAGTGATGCTAAATAACTAGATCTATCAAAAGAAAAGTAGACAGGCGAGAGAAATGTTGATTGGAGAAATATGAGAATAAAACTTGACAACTATTTTGTTGTTCGTCCGTCTACTCCACACAATTTCAACATATACCTCATCATTCATCATCAACAAATATACGTAGAAAAAGAGAAAAAAAAAAGTATGTTGGTATTGTGTGATTGTATGTCTAGCAAGTAGAATATTAAATAGTATGAAACCATATTAATTAGTTCATATCTAATATGAACACGTTCGTTTATTATAATCTATGTATTAGATCTTAAATTAAAAATACAAAATATTAACTTGATCTAATGCATTTTTTTCTAACTAGTTATAATAAATAGATCGAGTCATATTTCTATGTCATCAAAAGATTTATATTTCTGTTTATTTTTCGTTGTTGTTCATTTTTTTTTTGTACTGTTCATATTACCATAAGTTCTTTGAATATGTAAATAGATTTAACTCATTTATTATAGTTAAATGAACGACAGTATTGTCGATATTCTAACAGTATGTTAATGTTCCTGCTGTTACATCCTACACAAACAGCCGTTTTGTTGTTCATCAACAAACATTTGATCGATTCATTTTTCTATTACTAACGTAATATAACAGCATTGAGTTTGTCGGGTCATTTTTTGTTTTGCTTAGAATAGATGAGTACGATCGGTTCTATCAATTGAGTTCGATTAAATACAGAAAAATGAAAAGATATATATTTTTTTTATGTGATTAACCCATTTAGTTAATTGGATAGTAAAATTCTTTCCAATTTTTTAAAGAAATTAGTTTTTTTCTTGATTAAAAAGAGCGAGAGAGAGAGAGAGAGAGAGAAAAAAGAAAGAAAGACCGTAAACATTCATAAGTATGTATCCCGAAGGTAAAATTCGTTGTGTTGTGATGATATATATAGATGCCATACACTAATAAATATTTATCGTAATGTTATAAGTTTTTATTTTATTCAAATATTAATGCGAATGATTTAGATTTTTAATGAGAAATAAAAAGTATATATATGTATATTTTTCTTTTTTTCGAATATTGAAAAATAACTATAAAAATTACATCGTATTTTCAAGTATGAGCAAGAAAGTTGTATTCAGACCATTAATTGAATAGAAATTCATCGAAAAATTTTCCGGAAGTAATATTTTTTTTTTATTAATTGTACGTAAATTACTTCTAACTGACAGTTAGAATAGTTTCATAGTATTTCCGATATATTTTTCAAAATTTTCTTGAATAAGATATGAAAAACTTTCTCATTAATAATACTATGATAAGATTTTAGTTTCCCTTTAGGTTATGTTTAGGGTTATAACATTATGTTGATAAGACAAGAACATTAATACTATCATATCTTAAAATGTGTTAGTTCTTGTCATATATAAATATGTCTATATGATTATAACTACTAGTATTATTTACTTCGTCTTTTTCTTTTTCTTCTATTTGAGTGCATTTTGTTTTATTCAGCACTATAGGAAGAAAAACTTATCTCACTAGAATGAATAAGTTACAAAAAGATGACATATTGTGTGTGTGATTATCATTTTAATAGGACATGTCCTATTATTTGTTGCTTCCTCCTTTTTCAATAAACATATAACACATTGACAAATAGATTTGTGTCACGGAAATCTTTTTAGGTTTTGTTTCTTCATCACCTATATATAGATATTTAGACATATAGACTTCGTCATGTCTATTACAATGAATTTCTTTCAGACATTACAATTCTTTCTTCTTTTGTTTCTTTTTTTATTCACATATAACTGCATGTCGTACTTTTCTTTTCCTCACTTATTGTTCTTACTAACAATATGTTGTTTGATTAGATAGACACTATATCTTCTATAATTTAACAGTATTGAAATCTTTCATTAAAGAAAAAACAATGAGAAATTTTTTTAAAACAAAATTTTATTTCCGTCTAAATAATTGTTAGTTATTCTCATTTAAAAGACAAACGGAAATTAATATTAAGACTATATTCCATTGTTATTAGATGAGCCATCAATGACTTATTCGTGCATATTATGAAAACAGAATCGTGTTCAAGAATGTAAAAAAGGAAAAATATAATAATGAAGTATTACATAAGAATTTAACTTCAATGTAAATTCTCTTTGTTCTTTTTTTTTATCCTAGTTGATCTCTTATATTTTTTATGCTATTCGTTAACATAATCAACATGAAGTCATAGAGGTAAGATGATAATGATACGTTTTTAGCTTCCTTGTCAGTCAAACAATAATAATTGTTCAACACTTTCGATGATAATAACCCATATACTTTATAAAGCGGAAAGAAACAGAATTCTTTTTTTTCTCCACTTCTTGACATAAGTATTAATGGATGATAAAGGAAATATTCTTCAAAGGTAAGATTACATTTTTTTTTCTCTCTTTCTCTTATATTCTTTAGGTAAATATACATTTTTTATAAGCTCATCAGATTCTCTTGTCTTTTTTTACTTTCATAATTATAATAATCTCGTAAGATTTAGATATATGATATTGTTTGATAATATAAAGTTAATCTAATTTTCATTTCTTATAGAATATATAAGAAATCATTAATAGAAAATTTTGATAATTATTTATTGTATATTTTCTTTGTAGCTTATAAGAAAACATAATTTGTAAATGAATATGAAAAAAAAATATATCTTGCGTTGTTTTTTTTGTCTTGTATAGGAAACTATGCAATCAAATGATCAAATCTCATTGGATTTAGTTTGAATTTAGGATTGTGATTGTCAAAATCAATGAATTCTATGCATCATAAATCAATGATTTGCTTAAATGTCAAAAGAAATTAACGATAAAAATATATTCAAAACTAATTTGTCGGCTGTAAGTTTAAAGTTCTATAATTTGAGTTCTTTTCTTTCATATTCCCAGACGTCTGGTTATTTTTTTTTTGTTTCCTATTTTCGTCGATTCCTGTAATCTATTATTGAGGTTGAAAATAATAATTGCTTGAAAATCTCATATTTGTGACAGAAAATGATCATGACGATGTAAATATTTCTTTTTAAACTAATTTCCGAAATCGTTTGAAGAAGAATGGATACATCTGTCGCTTCACAATTTTTCTTTTATGTCTCTAGAAAAGGCACTTATGGAATATAAATGTATCATTAGATTACCAATAGATAAGAAAAAAAATTAATAAATATAAATATATTCCCTTTTAGAATGTGTAGAATAATTTAATATAGTAAAAAGAATAATAATCATGTGAAGTATGAATACAACAATAGAACCAACAAAAATATTAATCAATAATCCCGATACAGATAGTTTTGCTATACAATTAAAACATGGTTGTCAATTATTTCGATTTTATTCAAGTATTATTCTTGTTATTGTTGGTAAGAAATTATTTTTCTATATAATTCTTTTATTTTAGAAATAATTCTTTATATAGGTATGATTGGTTCTTTACTTTCAATAAAAGTTTTTTCATCAACAAAAATTCGACGAAATTCATCAAATGAATATTTGATAACAAGTAAAAGAATTTTGTCTTTTAAAATAACAAAAAACAACTTGACACATAAATAATTATACGATAAAAAATTAAATATCTCAAATCTATTTTACATTAAATGAACTACTTAATTGGTTTTTATCAATGATAGAATAAAAATGTTTTAAATTTTTATTTTTAAAAAACGATATCAAGATATAATACTTAGAATTAATATCAATAATTTCAAAAATAAATTTTGTATAACTTATAAAAAATTGTAAAAGTCTTTATTGAAATCGATATTATTAATTCTTAAGTAATAATTCTTGATATAAGTATATTCTTCTGTTACGAATAGAAAAAATTAGTTCATTTGATTAACACTAAATGAAATATATTTCAAAGAATTTTGTTATTCGTATTGATATTTATGATGCATCATATTTACTATTGAAAAAATTATATTTTATTTAGTGAGTTTTATAGTGGCTTTATTATTATTTAATTTCTTTTGTGATGAAGTTCTTCGATCAATTGTACATGATTTTCATGTTGATTTACCATTAAATCTTGTCGATTTATCACGCCCACTCTGTAAATGTAAGTTATTAATAAAAAGAAGAAGAAAAAAAAACAAAAAAATAAATTTCTTTATTATGATAAAAAGAAAAGCTTTTTACAAAAATTAAATAATTAACTAAAAGGAATGTTTATTGCTCATGCGAATTGCTCGATAGAAAAAAACTTCTGAAATTTTACACATTAATTTAAATTAAATATATGTAAAAATTAATAGGACAAAATGAAAATACCATTTTGATATAAGAAGAGTTTTATGCTTTAAAAAAAAAATATGATAAAATGATTTTTATTAATATTTTATTTAATTATAATAAAATTTTGTAATATAAATATTCATTTGAAATTTAAGTTATTAGTTCAATTTTTCTAATATAATAAGAACTAATGCTGTCAACAGGATTCTTTGCTTGCTTTTGATTATTCAAGTAGTTTCGAGTGCTTTTAGATACTTATCATTTACTTGAGCAATAGCATTCAGCTAATAACTTCATTAATATATGAAAACATACTAGAGAATTTTTTCGAGTGTATATCCTTGTAGAAGTATACATTAAACTTAATAGTCTAAAATAGTAAAAATATATGAACATTAATTAATGGAATATTATTCTCGTTAATAGGTTCAACATATTTTCGTCATACATTACGTTTTGCTGCTCATTGGATAGTTGTTGCTTTTACATTAGAACGTCTTATTGTTGTTTATTTTCCTTTACAAACATCTGTACTTTGTAATCCACGTAGTGCTCGACGAATTTGTTTATTTATATTAGTTATATCATTTTTAATACCATTTTATTCATTTATTATGTCCGATGTAAGTATTGATGAAAAACATCATTTACTTGAATGTGATATAATGAATAAATTTAAAAAAATTTATTTCTATTTAACAATTATTTACGGAAATTTAACATTAACATTTCCAATATTAATTGTTTGTGTTGTTAATATTTTAACTGTTCGACAATTATTACGTGCTGGACGTTTACGAAAACAACAACAATTAAATCAAACAAAAAAAGTTGACTGTGCAAATAAAGATTATGTCAATATGATTGTTAAAAATCAATTAGAAAATGATAAAGTAACATGGATGCTTGTTGTTATATCCATAACATTTGGTATATTAAATTTTCCATATTTTATTCTTTGGTTAATTTTTTGTATAATACGTGTACGTGGTAGAACTCCGTCAGCATATATTGAATCGGGAAAAATGGTTGCTGAAGTTTTTTATTTACTTCATTATAGTTTATATTTTTTTCTATATGTTATATCTCGACGAAGTTTTCGTAAAGTCTTAATTGAAAAAATGCGTTGGCGTTGTGATTGTTTTGATCAATGGCGTTTAAATGAAATGCGTCTCGATGCCGCATTATTATCACAACAAATACCACGACCACCAACATTACGAAATGGTATTAATAATACAAGTGTAACAAGTCGAACATCAATAACACATTTACGTGTCAGTTCAACTCGTCGTGGACAAATAAATAATAATTCAAAAAAATTAAACAAAGATTTATCAAATCCTTTTATTTTAACTGAAAATCTAAATAATTTATGTCCTTTTGATTTTGGAAGTCATGTTTAAAAATAAAAGACTATTCTTTATGATAATGAATATGTGTTTCTTGTTCCGTTCCAACCCAAAACTTTCTCGTGCATTATTATTAAACTAAGTAGATATCTTCTACATTTCTCTTTTTTTTTTGAGATTCATTTTTGTTTCTGATTGAATTTATTTAATATTAGTTATAGTTCTTTTTATTTTCTTTGATTGTATCGAGCGAAAAATAAGTAAAATTGAAACAGGAAATTTTTGTTATTTCATTATATATTTTTCTTTTGACTAGTTCGAGCAAAAATATCAATACTAGTACATGAACTAAAAAAAGAATTCAATAGATCGATAATATTAAAACGACTATTCTATTAAGTATTCTAAGAATAGTTCAAATTTTATCGGGAACATAAAACTAATAATGTTAGGATTATTTAAAATACATAAAAATGTATTAAAAATAAAAACATTTGACTACAACTTTATTTTGGTCATTCTGTGCCGGAAATCATGGATCATATACTTAGTAGTACATATAAGCTTTAATCAAAATCAAGGCTACGAAATAGTTTTAATGGTGCATTCTCGTTTCGTCGAAAAATAAAATTGAAAGAAAATATGAAGAATATATAAGTAGCTTATTTTAATTACTTTTGTTCTTTTGAATAGACTAAGTTTAAAAAAAGAAACAAATTAAACTATATACAGTGGGCGTCATAAGTCTCGCCCCACTTTTGTATTTTGAGTCGTCCCTTTGAACTAAACAATGTTGATTTAATTTGATTATATATTCTTGTAGCGGAGATCGAGCACTATCTGTATACACCTGTTCCATACGGAAAATTCTCGGAATATAAAATAAAATAGGCAAAGCAATCTTCAGTCCTACGAAAAAAAAGACAAAGTGATATTGTTGTCACATGCACAGGCAACTACAAAATAAACGAAGTATTGAGAAAAGTTCTTCATTTATCATACTTTGTAGAGCTTTTTGTACTGATTATTTTCATAAAAAAAATATTTTAAATTTCATGAAGAAGTGACAGTTTTATAATCAAAATATTAAACACTATAGTTCGAAACGTTAGTAGCATAAGTTGTTTTGCATATATCCCTGTACAAACAAATGATAAAGCTTTGGTTTTTTTATCAAAAGATGCGTCGTGATAAGTACTATAAAAATTGTAGAAACCAATTTCCATTCATTCGTACTGATGATTTCTTTCGTATTCGAAATGAAAAAAGTACATAAGAGTGCTACTTTTCACCTAATAAAAATGGTTGAAAGACTTTCATATTTTGCATATATCTCTACTCGAGATAATGATAGCACCTTGATTTTTCCTTCAGAAGATGCAGCGCCAAAAGCTCGACAAAACCAGCGTAAACAAATTTCTATTGCATAGAAAAGTCTTCTAAACATTTTTTATTATCACTTTGTCTTTTTTTGTATCATTTTTTTTTCGTAGGACTGAAGATTGCTTTGCCTATTTTATTTTATATTCCGAGAGTTTTTCGTATGGAACAGGTGTATACAGATAGTGCTCGATCTCCGCTACAAGAATATATAATCAAATTAAATCAACATTGTTTAGTTCAAATGGACGACTCAAAATACAAAAGTAGGGCGAGACTTATAACGCCCACTGTAGTTACTTCATTCAGCCAACAATCGAGTACCATCACGAAAAATTTATTTATGAATCGAAATCCTTGATTAAAATATTTAGTTAGTGGTTATAAATAACAAAACCTTAATTATAGAAAAATAGGGGTTAGGGTGAGGGTGGGTAATTGCTTCGGTATATATGAGAACGTGGATGGCCGTTTTCTCGTTGCCTTCTCAACATTTTCATAGCTCGATGTTTGTAAATTTCAGTATCTTTGCCTTTCAACATTAGTGAGGTAAATTCATTAGCTCTGTATAATTGGTATAATTGCTCTTAACAAATGTTTTCAACAGATTCACCAAGAATCCTTTTTGTGAATTAGTCTGTTAAAGAAAATGAAATAATCGTGAATAAGCTAATTACATTCTACATATTTTTATTCAAATTTTTAATTTTCGACGAAACGAGAACTAATCGTTTTAATAGCTAATAATAATAACCTTGTTATGATAATCATTGAAGATCGATTTTTTTTGCAAATTTATTTTATTTCTTATGTAAACGATCAACTTCTTTTCTTTTTTTTTTATTTCTCTCTTCATATTAGATTACAATATGAAAATATTTATAACCTTCGGACTAAAAATATATATGTTTTCAATAAAACTTCTAAAAAAAGAAAAAGCAGCGAACCGAAAAAAAAAGAATGAAAACAAATTTATTTTGTATTCAATTTCCCATATATAATTACTTCTAATTTTGTCGGTCTCTTATTTCTTGCTTTTTTTTTCGTCATCATCATTATCATCAAATTTTGCTTTTAAACTAGCAATGACGAAATAATATTCGTATGTGTATAAGAGTGTTCTTCATCTCCCACAAGTGTGCTGAAGTCATTTGGGAATGAATAGTGATCCGTTATCATCACGAGTGTCATCTTAAAGACGACGAACATCACAGCAGGCATCTAAGTGTTAACAACGATCACTTCTCTGTGTCTCTCTCTCTTATTGTTGACGCAATCAAATTGTCAAGTTAAATGATATTCTATACATGTATATATATATATAAGTCCCTCTAGGCGTAGTTGTCTTGATAATCAACATAATTTAAAGAAAAAGGAAAAGAAAAACTACTAAATGGTTACAGTTCGTTAGCTATCGACACACCATGTTGTTACCTTATACAGTTTTAATTAATAATGAAGAAAGAGGATTTTTGTATATACATCAATCAATCAAGTATATCTATATGTATGTATACAGGTAACATGATTAAAATATTAGATAATTCTCTTATGAAGGAAGCATACACGTTTTTATATATATATGCATCAAGCCGTTAGTATGCAGTAGTTATTTCTCCTTGTATTCAATCATTAACAATATATATATGTATACAAGTCGACACGTTTGACATTTGCATCGAACCATGTTCAGTTGAAGATAGAGATACATAGTAAGTAGATTATATGAAGATGAACTTTTTTTTTTTTTCTTCTTGCTATACAAACAAACAGCATGTGTTAATGTCGATTAGTAGTCAACTCATTTCGTTACGGTGAGTTGATTTCTGTTGTATATGTGCGTGCTTATTTTCTCATTCATATGATTTTCGGATAGTCGAATGTTATAAACGATGCCAATCAGTAACAACAAAATAAAATAAAAAATATGAAGAATTTTTTTTCGTGATTTATTGAAAAGAAGATCAGTGAAGTGTCACATTGACGTAGAATGTGGACATCATTTAACTTAAATTTTGTTTATTATCAGTTGTTATGATGTGCGATGTTGGAAACAAAATATCTCTTCTTTGTTGATGTTTATTGACACATTCAATGTATATCATCTTTTTTGGACAAATACTCATCTTCAATATTCAATTAATCGCACCTATATATGTATACGATGATAAGTTCAAATAAATTTTGATAAATATCTATGCTTGAATCATTATAAAAAAAAAAAAAAAACGAATGAAAAAATTTATTTATTTGAATTAAAATGAATAAATGTCTAACTATTAAAGATTTTGTTTGTATTTGTAAAAACATTTTTATCTTAAATGACTAAATTTTAAAATCATTCTATTATGAAATGTAAATGTAAGACTTTGACAACTGTATAAATAAGAAGAAGAAAAAAAATCTTTTTCAACAAGATAATGTCAATGAAACAGTAGTAGATCTAGAAGTTGAAAAGAGCTGACAATCATAATCATAAATTATGTTTTGAAATTCATTAGAGATCGTCTATCATTTCAATTGTCATCTATTTGATTCTAAGTACTTCGAAGGAACAATGTTTTGAACGTAAGAAAAGACTCTCTAATTAATTAATTTTCCAAAAAATTAAAAATTAAATGTCTTCTATTGCAAGAAGGATTTACTTATTTCGATTAAACTAAATTCTTTATTTATACATACAGAAATAGTGCAACATCCTCTCTAATCAAGAAAACTTTTTGTTTTGTTTTCCTAGCGAACTCCAAATTTTAGAAATAAACAATCTTTATATACTATCTAAATGTTCAGGAGTTTGAATCAGCCTTGAAATACATCAATTATTAAAAATCAATGAGATTGATAAGTCAGTGGCGGATCCACCTGTTCGGCGAACCGGCAACCCCCTTGCGAATTTTTTTTTCTATTTTTTCTCAACAGAAATAAGAAAAAAAGTAGTGGTAAGATATCAAAAAGGGTTCCAAAACCATTATTTGACCATGACCCCCACCCCCTTGGGCAAATCGCCATCCCCTCACTGATTTTCTGGATCTGCTCCTGTGATAAGTAACCAAATAAGTCGTTTATTTGAATGTGTCAACATATCTTAACAAGTTTTTTTCTTCTTCTTATATATATATAGTGAAAAAGTCGATTATTTATCCAATGAAAAACAACATTTTTTCTTTAATTAATAAAATTATATTCTAAAGAAGTCTTTATATTGTGATAAGTCAAATGTTATCTCCGAAATGTTCGGACACCTTCAAAGAACATCTATATTATTTCATCATAAATAGAAAAATCTATTTTATGAGTGTTCTCTATTCTTAGACATACGAAAATATTTCGTAAACGATCTATTTTATGAAAGTGAAAACGAGAACGAGAACGAGAGAGAGAGAGGGAAAAGAAAGCTGATTGGTTATAAAGAAAGAAAAAAAAAACGAGAAAAAGATTAATGATCAAGTCGCATCATTATCACTTCTGCCACTCGAAATATTGAATATGGATGAAAATTTTCATCCATTACAAAGCAATGAAAAGCATCAAAGGTTTGTATAGATGATATCCTGCTGTAAAACTTCTGTTTGTTCACTCTTTTTTTTTTATCGGTATTTTCACACATATGCTTGTTTTTAAAATAATGATTAGTTTAATCATTTCTCAATTGTTCTTTTTTTACATTTAAGTTTTTGTTCATTTCTAGCAACAATATGGAACAACCTTTAGATTTAACAATAACAAATACAAAAAATTCATTTACAATTGAATATTTAACATCTAATATTCTTAAACCAAAACGAAAGCCAACATTTTATTATCAACAATCACCATTACATCCATTAGAAAATCAAAATTTTTCTTTAAATTCAACATTAAATGAACATGTTGTACCAAATATTTGTAGTCCATCAACAAGTGTAAGTCATTTATAATGAGATAATAATAAAATATTATTTGATATATTTTTCTTTTTTTTGACTTTGAAACATTTAAGACTAATTGTGCTTTGGAAATAGTTAATGGTGGACATGGGATTAAAAATCCATTATTTGATTGTGCGACAGAAGCACTACAAATTAAATATGGTATGAACAATATTAAATTAGTTTCACTTTTTTTTTCTCATGAATTTAACGGGATGAGTTATGTGTCAATCAATAAATCATTCTTAATGTTTTTTTTTTTTTTTTTTTTTTTTCGATATCGATCAATATTGAGAAAAAAAGTGTTAATTAGAAACAATATGTATCCATTGATTTTTTTTCTCGAAAACGAATGAAATCAAATTGTTCATTTATTCATCATACAAAAAGAGAGAGAAAAAAAAATCTTCGTATTATGAAAACATTCGAAAATAGCTCGATTTAAGAGTTAGAGATAATCTTATATGCTGTTATTAAAGAAATCAATTTGAGGATTTTGAAATAAAGTTTAGATTTTTGTTCAGATAAAATTTCTATTCAATATATTAAGGATGATGAGTAAATGATGTATTCAAATTGTGTACTGATCAAATTATAATTTTGAGAGATAATCAATATCAGCGTTTCTGTGATTATAGAGATATATAATAGTATTTTAAAACCTTCTGTAGATATAATGGATATGTACAATTAGAGGCGTTTTGACCATTTTCTTGGAGAACCGGATGAATAAAAAACAACCAATGAAAGTTTTTCAAGATTGAAAGATGATTACACTTCTATTAGTTCTACTGCCTTTCGCTTGACTGTATCACTTTTTTGTAGCAGTATTGAGACAATATGTCCTTTATAGGAATAATATCCTAATTGAATAGTTTCTATTATAAATATTTTCGCATAGTGTAAAAAACAAGATCGTCGTCTACAAAGTGAACTAAGAACTAATCGAGTTGATTTTGTAAGTCTTGAAATGAGTCAATATTATAAGTTTCATTATCGATAGAAACATCAAAGAAAACTTATGATAAAAATATACTTTTGTTCAGAAGTATTTGCTTCTCCTTTTAGTGTATATTTCTAATAAATTTTACTTCTATTATTTTGGATGACTTTTCTATCCAATAAAGTTCGTTCAAACTTTAGTTTTCGAGTCTCCTAAAATTCGCTCATAATATCTAACCTATGAGTTTCATACGAATTGTACAAGAGCAGCAAAATTCTAGTCCTAACTCAATAGCAAATATTGAAGTTAATCATTATTCAATAATTTTTGTATAAACTTTTAGAACATATCAGTCGTGAAAGATCATAAAATCTATCATTTCGAATGAAAAAGTGCTGATCTCAATCTCGGTGTGACCATCTTTAGTAGTAGCGGCGCCAGAAGTTCCGCTTAGGATGGGCTCATAATGGGTTGAGCCCATCCTAACCCACACACAGTGTTCTTTTTACATAGTTTCCGAAATCTCTCAGGGTGGGCTGAGCCCACCCTGGCGCCACCACTAATCTTTAGGTGTATGGTAAAGAACCATTGAATTATTTCGATCATGTGATTTAATTAGAATTTTGTTAAGATTGAAAAACAATCATTTCTTAGAATGTGAAATAATTGTATATTGAAATAATAACAATTTCCTTTTCTATTTAGCTAATTCAACAAATCAAGGTGAAGAATTTATATGTGGTTTATGTATGAAAACATTTAAACTTCAACGTCTTCTTAATCGTCATTTAAAAAATCATAGTCAACTTAAACGATATTTATGTACATTTTGTGGTAAAGGATTTAATGATACATTTGATCTTAAACGGCATACACGAACACATACAGGTTTTTTTTTTTTTAAAATATAGTTCTTATCGAATTTATATCAAAACATATTCTTTCTTTCTTTTTTTTTGAAAAGGTGTTCGTCCATTTAAATGTGATCAATGTGAAAAAGCATTTACACAACGTTGTAGTCTTGAATCTCATCAACGAAAAGTTCATGGATTAAATCATGTTTTTGGATATAAAATTCGTCGAAATAAATTATATGTATGTGAAGATTGTGGACATACATCAACTGATCCATCAAAACATTATGAACATATAAAAAATTTTCATCCATATTCACCACTTATACATCGATATTATGATAAAAGACAATTTAAATTTGATTCAAATTCCTTATTATCAAATAAAAGCATATCAGATCGATCGATTTTATCTGATGATGATAATCATATTCAATGACATTTTTTTTTTCTTTCTTTCTGGATTTGTTCATTCATTATTGACAAACTTGTTGTGTATGTGTGTTTCCTGTGAACTATTGAATGTATAGTGTTATTAGAAATTTCAATGTGTTTACTTGATCAATTTAAATAAAACAAAAGATATTAGTAAAAATAACTTTTTTTCAAAAAACTGTTTTTACGATGCTAAGCACAACATTTCTGTATATGGTATCTATACTTTTCGTGATTTTTTGTTGTAACAAAATCTGTACTTTACGTCGTGGTGTTTCTACTAGTTGTTCTGAGCAGAAAATACAGGATTGACTCTAGGTTAAATCATTGATCGTGTTTATGTCAATTGAAATCACTTCACGCAGCATTTATGTAGTCTTTTGTGATTTTTGTTTGTCTTTTTTACTTACTAGACGTAAGTACCAAAAGTAATCAATCTCTGTTGCGATGATCTCGAGCACAGAGAATCAGCAAATACGCAGCTAGACATTCTTGTACTGTCTTATTCATACATTGAAGAAAGTGCTGGAATAACTTGAATGATATAATTTATTTTGATTTCGAATATAAGAATTTTCACCAAATCCGCGCTGTTAAAACAACTTTTATCTTCTTCAATGCTTGAATAAGACAATATAAGAATATCTATCTATGGAATATCTGATGTAATTCGTGTTGTTCTTGCTAATGATATATTGGATAATAAAATTAGCGAAAACATTATAGGAATTATGTAGAGTGCACGTTGTCCTATTGAATCATGTATTATAGCAAAAATTTCAACTTAGAATAGGTGTGCAACAGTTTACAAGAAATAAGTAGTTGGATACTTTTGAAAGAATGAAATACAGCATGCTGTGATTGTATCATTTATAAAAACTGAATAGATCATTGGATTGATTCGAAATGTTCTACTATTAGAGAGTATAGACAGCCAGCTGACGAAAAGCAAATAATTCTAGCTCATCTATTTTTTACTCTATATATATAGATAGTCCAAACAGTGCTATATAATTCTATCGTATGTTGTCATTCTTCAGCTCTTGTCATAATATAAAAACTTCGATAAAACCTGAACTGCACTATATATTTAAGCGAGAGTTATTCACGATAAACCTGTGCTTTGATTTTGACGTACGGATTTCACTTGTTAGAACAGTTGAAAGATGATATGAATAGCTTCGTGAAGATCGAAAGGATAAAGAACGACTTCTTCATGAACATCCTCAAGATCAGCTGTTACGATATATAACTAACCGTAATCGTTCTAGGTTTACGATGGCATTCATTGAATGGCACCATAATTCAGATTAGTTTGCACTTGAAATTCGTCATTTGTAATATGATGATCGTCATTAATAAAACAATGGATGAATGT